TTGATAGGTGACAATTACCCCTGAAGTCACGTCACGTGGAGTTAATCGTGCTGTGATGGAACAACTTGTGAAGCTGTACAAGGAGTCTCATCTGGGAAAGAGGCTGCCCGCGTATGATGGGAGAAAGAGTCTCTACACTGCGGGTCCCCTGCCGTTTGTATCTAAGGAGTTCAGAATAACCCTTCTTGATGAAGATGATGGAGCAGGCGGGCCCAGGTTCGTAGATTTCGGTCTAATTAATCGATTTGTTCATGTTTTGTTTTGCGTGATATTGTTTCTTGTTGAGGTTTGATAGTTTTTTCTTACTAACTGTTTGTAGGCGTGAGAGGGAATTCAAGGTGGTCATCAAGTTTGCTGCACGTGCTGACTTGCACCATCTAGGCATGTTTTTACAGGGAAGGCAAGCTGATGCACCACAAGAGGCTCTTCAAGTTTTGGACATTGTTCTGCGTGAACTTCCCACTTCTAGGTTTGTTTTTTATCTTCAGCAAATTATCATGATTTCAGGACTAGCATTACTCGGTTTGTATTGATTGTTATTATGTTCGTTTTTAGGTATTGTCCAGTAGGCCGTTCTTTCTATTCCCCCGATTTAGGAAGGAGGCAGCCTCTTGGGGAAGGGCTCGAAAGCTGGCGTGGTTTCTATCAGAGTATCCGACCCACTCAGATGGGGTTGTCACTAAATATAGGTGAGCCTTGCTGCTTCTTGATTTTCATTTTCCCTAGTTCAAAATTTTCATTTATTTTGTGTATGATTGATAATCCCTTATGTTGTATGGTAAATCGGCAATAATTTTTATTTGATCACTGATTGAGCAGATATGTCGTCCACTGCTTTCATTGAGCCGCTCCCAGTGATAGATTTTGTGTGCCAACTTCTGAATAGAGATGTTTCAGCCAGACCATTATCTGATTCTGACCGTGTTAAGGTTTGGTCTTCGGGTTAATTTAAGAAACATAATTGTTTATTATATGTATCTAATATATATGTGTTTGGTGGTTGGATTTCTTTAGCTATATTGAGCTTTTAGTGATATTATTCAAATTTTACAGATCAAAAAAGCACTTCGAGGAGTAAAGGTTGAGGTGACTCATCGAGGGAACATGCGAAGGAAATACAGAATCTCTGGTTTAACTTCACAAGCAACACGTGAGCTAACGTAAGGGGATCAATTACTGTTTGTTATTCTGTTATCATCATATCATGGCTTTATCGGGTAAAATTTATTGAGATAATAATGCCTTTGAATTCATGTTCTGAAATTTGAACTTTTGGTTGATTTTAGATTCCCGGTTGACGAGAGAGGCACAATGAAATCTGTGGTTGAATATTTTCAAGAAACCTATGGTTTTGTTATTCAACAGACCCAATGGCCTTGCCTGCAAGTTGGAAATACTCAGCGACCAAACTATTTGCCTATGGAGGTCTGTATAAGTAGTTACTTACCCTTTTGATTTGTGATTTTCATCAATATGGTAAACATATAGTGCCAATATAAACGCTTTCTGGGTCAATAGGTGTGCAAGATAGTTGAGGGCCAGAGGTACTCCAAGCGGTTAAATGAGAGACAAATTACTGCACTTCTCAAAGTCACTTGCCAGCGTCCTCAGGAAAGAGAGTATGATATACTCCAGGTTGACCTTCGAAACTGATCTCTAACTTTAATATTATGGATGTTGTGATATGATTTCCATGTTTTTTTTTTTTTGGATTCATCGGTGTTTATTGTGGGTAAATTAAAGCAATCTATGTTTTCTTAACCTCACATTTTGCATTTTCAGACTGTACGCCACAATGCATATGCTCAGGACCCTTTTGCTAAGGAGTTCGGCATCAAAATTAGTGACAAGTTGGCGCAGGTTGAAGCTCGTGTGTTGCCTCCACCTCGGGTAATCAGAAAGCTCTAGTCTTGGATAGTTTTCAGAATTAACTTTTAAGTATGTCTCATTTTATGTAATTTCACATTTTTCTTTTTCTTTTTTCAGCTGAAATATCATGATTCGGGTCGGGAGAAGGACTGTCTTCCTCAGGTTGGGCAGTGGAATATGATGAACAAGGTAAAAATTAAAATTGCCTTCTCGAAGTTGATTTTGTTTGGTCATAAAATGATGCATGCTAGAATTCAGTAAACGAAAAAGAAATTACGATAACTATTGCTATTTTGATCCATGCAGAGAATGGTTAATGGTGGGATTGTGGGCAGCTGGATCTGTATTAATTTTGCCCGTAATGTTCAAGACAATGTTGCACGTAGTTTCTGTCACGAGCTTGCTCAAATGTGCATTACGTCTGGCATGGTAAAAGATGGGATATTTACTAATGTTTTCTTAATGAAATTAATATATTTCCTCCCGTCTGAAATTCATTTTTGACTTGGAAGGATTTCAATCCCGAGCCTGTATTACAAGTTCTGACTGGCCGCCCAGATCAGGTTGAAAGGGTCCTTAAAGCTCGGTTCCATGATGTTATGACAAAATTGCAACCCCAAAAGAAGGAGCTCGACTTGCTAATTGTGATACTTCCGGACAATAATGGGTCCCTTTATGGTAAAGGAGATCGAATTTTGGAAAATGGATATGATTTTTTATTTTTATTTTTACTTATTTTCGTTTAATCTGTTTATCAGGTGATCTGAAGCGTATATGCGAAACGGATCTAGGCATTGTCTCTCAGTGTTGCCTTCAAAAGCATGTTTATAAGATGAGCAAACAGTATCTGGCAAATGTAGCTCTCAAGATTAACGTGAAAGTTGGCGGGAGGAATACTGTGCTTGTTGATGCAATCTCTAGACGTATACCACTCGTCAGTGATCGGCCGACTATCATTTTTGGTGCTGATGTCACTCATCCTCATCCCGGAGAGGATTCTAGTCCATCCATTGCTGCTGTAAATTCTCGACTAAAAAAATCAGCTTGCATGGATATTATTAGCTTTTGCATGTGCTTAATTTTGGCTGATTTTTCTTTTTTTCTTTTTTTTTTTCCAGGTTGTTGCATCTCAGGATTGGCCCGAAATCACGAAATATGCAGGCTTGGTTTGTGCTCAGGCCCATAGGCAGGAGCTCATCCAAGACCTGTATAAAACCTGGCAAGATCCAGTCAAGGGGACTATGCATGGTGGCATGATAAAGTAATCGTTTTGGAATTGTTATGTTCGGGCAGTTTAGAAAATAAAAAATCAATATTTCGACAGTTATATTCTATTTTATCTTCTTTTTTTTTTGGTTCATATGTTTATAAATCATTGTCATATGTTTCAGGGAATTGCTTATTTCATTCCGTCGGGCTACTGGACAGAAACCTCAGCGAATTATTTTCTATCGGTAATTTGTTGAAATGTAGCTCTCTGTATATATGTATAATATGTAATTATATCCATTTGCCTAGCCTTTAATTTTGTTTAATTTTTGTCATTTTCTTCCATTTCTTGTGGATTGGTGCCTTGTGTACAGTGATGGTGTGAGTGAAGGGCAATTCTATCAAGTTCTGCTTTACGAACTCGATGCTATACGCAAGGTAATTATATTTAAAATTTGTGTATAGTTAAAATGTAAATGGTAGACAAACATTAAGCTATAGAGCAATTGAACATGAGTTAAAAAATCTTAAACTAAATAGTAAATACTAATTCATGATTTTTAAGCAAAAATCAATATTTCTTTTAAATTACTCTACATTTTCTAAAATATTTTTATATCCTTATATTTGGTATTTGATACAATGAAACGAGGGAAATCCAACAAATATTTCTAACTTAAAAATATTTAATCAACAAATTACGTGATCAGGAGTATAAAAAAAATTGAAAGAAAGTTGATCGGTTATGTCGAATCAAATATGTAAATAAATAAATTGTAACTTTCTGTTTTTAATACAATCATTTACAGTATTCATTTCACTCCCCTTTTATTCATGTCGATTTTTGCATTTTTTTTTCAGCCTAGCATACAATAATTTTTTTCCTTCCATTCAGGCATGCGCCTCGTTGGAGCCGAACTATCAGCCTACCGTCACATTTGTTGTGGTTCAAAAGCGTCATCACACGAGACTGTTTGCTAACAACCACAAAGACAGGCAGGCAGTTGATAGAAGCGGGAATATTCTGCCTGGTACATTTTGAAAATTACAGCACCTCTTTCTTTCAAAATTATTAAAATACCTCTCTAAAATGTTGAAAACAACCCAACTCTTAGATGTCGTTTTTTTTCCTCCCAAAAAGTTTCTTATGATGGTTGTAGGTTGTAATATACAGACAAATGTCCGACTTTTTTATGAGTATTTGAGCTGTTAACACTCACACACTTGGTTTTGTGATTGAAAAAATATCCCTCATTTGATGCAGGAACTGTTGTAGATTCAAAAATCTGCCACCCGACTGAGTTTGATTTCTACCTGTGCAGTCATGCCGGGATACAGGCAACTTTTTCATACTTTTGCTTAATATATATATATATATATATATATATATATATATGATTAAATAATGGTCTAAGCTTCTGTGTTTACTCGATAATATTTACTCTTTTCATCTAATTATTATAGGGGACTAGCCGTCCGGCTCATTACCATGTTCTGTGGGATGAAAACAAATTTTCTGCTGATGCTCTTCAAAGTCTTACCAATAACCTCTGCTACACGTTAGCTCCCCACGACCCCACCTTTTGTTATGGGCATTCTTCTGTTATTTTCGCTAATCGATTTTTTTGTAATTGTTTTTCTCCTTTTGTTTTATTTTATCTTGTTTGCAGATATGCTAGGTGCACCCGCTCTGTTTCAATCGGTACGTATATTGATGTACTCATCTTAGTTTTTTAGCAGCAGCTTGTTAACTAACTACAAAAGATACCCTCCCCGCAATGTGGCCTAATATCAAAAACCCCATCTATCTTCACACACACACTTGACCTCATGGGTTCAAGGGTTTGGTTTTATTTTTATTTGAGCTTTAACTCGATATTCTTGCTCGATAATACTCAAGTTTCTTCTTACTTTTTGGTTGGTTGTAGTGCCTCCTGCATACTACGCACATTTGGCTGCTTTTCGTGCACGTTTCTACATGGAGCCTGAGACATCAGACAGCGGCTCGATGACGAGCAGCTCGGTGGCCGGTCGAGGTGCAGCCGTGAGGAGCACGCGGGTCCCGGGATCCAATGCAGCCGTGAGACCCCTTCCTCAGCTTAGGGATAACGTCAAGAGAGTGATGTTCTACTGTTAAACAACAGAAATGAATCTGCTTGTCTTGTTTCTTTTCTGTTGTTCTTATCTTTTGGTNTTTAATGACTTTGTGACATTTGGTTCTGTTGGTGGTGTTGTGTTTGCTTTTGGGGAGATATGAAAGTTCTCTCTTCCAAACAAACAGACACAATCGAACAGGAAAATAAAATGAATATTGCAGCAGTGTTTCTTGCTCTGAAAATCTACTTTGTTAACATTCTCATTGTTTTTCTACCCTTTCATTTTATTTTAAACTGTTTGATGTACACTAGGACTAGGTAATGTTTGCATGGGGGAAGGAAAATGTACACAAAGTCGAAAACCATATATGATTCTTGTTGCTCGGGAAAGGTTTTGCAATGCCAAACACTTTTGAGCGGAACAAAACCTTCCACATTTTTCTTAACTCAACTCAACATCATCACTAGTTTGGTTCTCGAAATCTGACTTCACTTGCAGACCCGCTATTTGACCTAATTAGATACCCTTCCCTTCGAGTCTCTTCTTTGTGGCATGTCCAAATTTTCGACGAATGTTTTCTTGCTGGGCAAAGGGTTTAAGGTTTGCAAACCGGACCATTGTACCATTTGCACCAAAACATTTTTATTCCTATATGTATGTTGCATTTACCGGTGGCCCTACTAAAATGACAAAATGTGCTGGCAGACAGGTGAGAAGTTATTACAAATAACGACATTTTGAAACTGACAAAAATGCTGCCCTCACACACGGCAAACCCATCTTTTTATATGGATAACAAACAAAACACGAGCAAATCTCAAAACACGAATCCACACAGAAAAAATGGCCAACAAGAAGAACACAAAATCACAACCAGCAAATCTCCCCTTCATCACAAGGCTCAAACTTTTCATCCTAAAACTGCCCAAGCCTTTCACCATCCCCCTCGAAAACCTCAAAACACGAGCTCCGACCAAAAAACTCATCAACGGCACGTTGGTCACAACCTCAGACATCAAAATCGACCCCTCACGCAATCTCTGGTTCCGCCTCTTCATCCCGAGTTCCAACTACTGCTCGGAAAATCCCCTGCCGTTGATCGTTTATTTTCACGGCGGTGGCTTCCGGTCTTTCGGGCCCGACAACATCGTTTTCCACGATCTCTGCAGTCAGCTAGCGTCGAAAATTCCAGCTGTTGTTCTCTCGGTCAATTACCGTCTGGCGCCCGAACACAAATTCCCTGCCCCATACGAAGACGCGCTCCGAGTCTTGAAATTTGTCGACAAACATAACCGTGACGTTTTGCCCGAGATCGCTGACCTCAGCAAGTGCTTCCTCATGGGAGATAGCGCGGGAGGCAACATAGCACATCACGCCACGATTCGGGCCCTTAAGAACGGCGACTCGTTCGAGAAGTTGAGAATTGAGGGTGTTATCGGGCTTCAACCGTTTTTCGGTGGCGAGGAAAGGACGGATTCGGAGCTCAGGTTGACACGTGCTCCGATTATTGACGTGAAGATCACGGACGAGTGCTGGAAAATTTTTCTGCCAGATGGGGCCAATAGGAACCACTCAGCGGCCCATGTATTTGGCGGGCCGGGCTCTGACGAGCTCAAGGATGTCCTTTTCCCGAGGAGTCTGGTGTTTGTGGGAGGGTACGATCCTCTGCGAGATTGGGGTAGAAGATATGCCGAGGGTTTGAGGAGTTGCGGGACCCAAGTGGAGTTGATTGATTATGAAAATGCATTTCACGGTTTTTATTGTTTTCCGGAATTGCCTGAGTATGCCTCGTTACTTGAAGAGGTCGTGAATTTTATCCGAAAACAAGAAAGTCTCGACTGAAGCTTGGTAATGTAGACATAAAAACTTCGCTTCTTGTTTATAGCCTTGTATGTATCTAGCAAAAGAGATCAGAAAAAATTGTGAGTGAGATTATACTTATGCGTATTTCGTTCCATATTCATTCTTTTTGTGTAATGATGTGAAGAACACCAGAATACTAATAAACTCGATAAACTAATTATAATGACGAACCTTGTCAATCGCGTGGACCTGCCCCGAGTGTGAAAAACAGGGGTTTTTCATTCTAAAACTACACAATGCTACAATCATCGTAACCAAAATCTCGCATCTCGAGCAGAAGCTTCTCACGTAGAAGCAAGTAAATCTCTTTCATTTCAGGGTGAGACTTGTCACCAACCAAAAACACATGAATCCTGCCATTAACCTCAATCTGACTGTAACCAGGCACTTTGTTAACTTCCCTCTCCTTCATCTTCTTCCTCAATTCCGAAAATTTGTCCCATTTCCCACACGAGGCATACAAATTACCCAGCAGAACGTATGCACCAGATCTACCCGGCTCAAGTTCGATTAGCTCGTCGCCTATATGATCAGCCAACTCATCATCTCCATGCAGCCTGCAGGCACTAACCAAAGCCCCCAAAACCACACCATCGCATTTATCTAGGGGCATCTCGTTCACCACCTTCATAGCCTCATTAACGAGCCCAGCCCGCCCAAGGATATCGACAAGGCAAGAATAGTGCTCTGATGTTGGCTCCAGACCATAAGCACTCCTCATGGAGTCGAAAAGCATACGGCCTTTTCTCACGAAGCCCGCATGGCTACAGCCCGACAGGACTCCCACAAAAGTGATCCCATCAGGAGCGTGGCCCGATCTTATCATCCGAGCAAATGCCTGCAGGGCCCACATGCCGAGCCCGTGATTGGAATACGCAGATATTATCGCGGTCCAACTGACGACGTCCTTTGCTTCAAGATTGTCGAAAACAATCCTAGCCGAGGTGATGTCACCACACCTGTAGTACATGGTGATTAGAGTATTAGCTAGAGATGTCTCTATTTCATAACCGAGTTGCACTATAAGCCCGTGTACTTGAATGACACCCAGAATCCCACTGCACGAAGTTAGCAAGCTCGTGAGGCTTGTCTCCTTTGGCGTGATCGAGTCACGGCGCATGGAAATAAACAGAGAAAAGGCCTCGTCCGCTTGTTGATCCATTGAATAGCCATGAATCATTGCATTCCAAGTTACGATATTTCTGTTGGACATTGAGTTAAAAAGTTCCCGGGCCTCGACCATTCGGCCCGTGTCGGCGTAGGCTGTAATCATTGCATTCCAAGCAGAGATATCCTTATTCGGCATCCGGTCAAAGTATATCCTTGCCAAATCAGTCATCCCATTTTTTGCGAGGCCCGTGACCATAGTTGTCCAAGAAATCACATTCTTCCGAGTCATTGACTTGAAAAGCTCGTTAGCTTCGTTTATTCTGCCCTCATCCAAAAGCCCACGCACCATGATGTTCCAAGAGTACAAATTACGTTCTGGCATCTCCCGAAAGAGCTTAAATGCCTCATCAACCCGATCATTCTCGATGTAGGCCTTCACCATCGAGGTCCACATCACCACATTTTTCACAGTTGTCCGGTCGAAAGCACGCCGGGCCTCATCAATCAGCCCATTCTGCGAGAAGCCCGTAATCACATTCGTCCATGTAATCTCGTTTTTGTCTCTCTCGGGCATTTTCGCGAAAAGTTCGAGGGCGGCATGGACTTTCCCGGCTCTAAAATAACCCGAGATCAAGCTGCTCCAGGAGAACGAATTTCTCTCGGGCATTTTGTCGAATACATCCTTGGCTTGATCCATTCGGCCGGCCTTTGCATAGGCATCCACCATAGCAGAATCTGCCACGATGGTCCTCATGTCCTCAGGGATCTCGTAGAAAAGCTTCTCGGCCTTGTGAAACTCATCGTGCTTGAGATAAATGCTGATCATAGAGGCGTAGGACACCCTGTCTCGTTCGGGAATTCCGTCGAACAGCTTCCGCGCGGCGTGGGCGCTTGCTCGGCGGCCGATCTCCGCCATCCGTACGTTGTAATCGTAGGTCGATGTTGGACTGGTGATGTTGGTGGGATCATCTCTTTTAGCAAAACCCAAGGTGAGTTTGCCGGCAGCGGCGGTCGTGTGGAGGCCGTGAAGTGTGTGTTGCCTTTCACGGATCGCGGGGACAATGCATGTTTGAATTGCGACAATGCTTCGGGCGTTTCGTACGTGGAGTGCCCGTGGCCGGCAGCTTCTGATCATCCTCCGTGACGGCGGCTCTTGGGTTTCGCGGTATTCAAAGACGGGAGAACATATAAATGTATATTTATGCTAGTGGTAAATTGGTAATACCACGAAAAAGCTATATATATGAAGTTAGAGAAATGAAAAAATAGTAAATATAGCTATTTTAGTAATTTGATATGCGAAAATACTACATTACCCTTAAACTCAATTTTTTCCCAACCTCAAATCCTTTTCCTACTTTTCATTGTCCGCCGTCTTCGCCGAAAGAGACGAGGGAAAGAGGGAAGGGTTGAGAGTGTTCAGTTGATGTTCTGTCATTTCCGCTCGCGGTCGGATTTGTGGGAGAAAGAGGGGGTTTTGTACTTCCGGTAAGCATCAGTTCATCTCGGCCGACGGAGAACATCCGAAGAAGGTGAGATCTACAACACAAGCAAATCATATAACAAATGATTGCACGTCTTTTGTTGGAATTTGTGAATTTTAGCTTCAGTCTACTAGACTACCGAAAACAAGTTTCGTAAGGTTTAATTTATCAGAACCTCTTTATTTGTTGTGTGTCGTGCTGTGTAGGTTTGTACTGTGTACGTGTGTACATAGTTTTCTATAGTATTCAATCATAAACTTTTAAACAAATATCATTTGGCAAATTATTGCACAAATTTATGAAGTTGATTTTATTCTTTGAGATGATCAATGTATTTGGAGGAAGAATGAATATTGAACTAAAGCTTTTATGTGTTCGGATAGATTGAGAGCTGTGCAAATGTGACATGTCTTTAATATTACTCAACTGTAATCAAAGTTGGATTGTTGTTCTATTCCAAAATTCATGCACTTTGCTACTCTGCAAGTGGCAAAGAAGCTATCTTCATTTATATGCCATTCAATACATCAATCACATGAAGTGCATTCAGACAGCTAATGTTCTATGGCTGCCGATATTGTTACAATTGCTGCTGCCTTTGGGTGGTATTAGGCTTCAAGGAAGAAACAACCTGAGGAGGTCCAGGATTGAGATCTAACATCAAACTGAGTGTTTTGCTGCCTAAATGAATAAAATAAATGCACGCAGTCCGAATTGTGTTCATCTTATTTTGTTAAAACTGTTGAGCTCGGGCTGTTTAGCTATTGTTGTTAGATTTGAAATATATAAGGATGTTAATTTATTGGATGATAGAATCATTTTATTAAATATGCATTTTAAGTACAAGAAAAAGATTTGAAAAACTGCTTCAGTATCAAAATTAATAATAGTTCTATTAACCCCATATATGAAATTTTTATTTTTGCAATGGTGTACCAGGATTTTATTAAATCATCGGCTTGCTTATACTAAATTATTCGTGGGAAAAGAACTTCACATCTAGCATATATAAATTATGTTTGTTTGGTTCTATGATAGCGTTTGATTGATTTTGTAAGTAGTTAATAAATTATTCATTTTGTAATAGTGAACAAAGAACAAACAAGGAGGAAGAAGAAGGAAAAGAAGAGAGGAGTAGAAAAATAAAGGAAGAGGACGGATTTGGCCAGACAATGGCGAATAAAGAACCAGTTGGTGGCGACGGCGGCAGTTCCACCGCGCTGGAAGAAGCTCCGACTGGTATATATATGCTGATTCTTTCCTCCTCTTGCCCAATTTGGATTTCTTCAACACTGTCCTTTTTTTTTTCTTCAATACTGTCCTTATTCTGAATTATTTGCGTGAATTTCCTTAATTTAATGCTTTAATTTCATGGGTGCTTCTTCATTTAAGACATCTGGTTTCTATTCTTATAACGACTCTGGTAGTCTGGTTTGTATCGAGTTAATAGTTAAATCGTTTAGCTGGAACTTTGTGAATATTCTTGCTCTTGTTGGAAAGCCACTATAATTATTTGAATTTCGAGTCTATTTTCTCATTTTCTGGAAGAGTTGCATATCTTTCTCATGTTTTCATTTCATTTCATGTTCGATTTCAGTGTGCAATTTCTTCAGGAAGCCATCAAAGGGAAAGAACATCAGGAAACGAACCTCCACTGAAGAAGGAGACGGCGAGGAAGAAGAATCCACAGTTGTCATCAACAAGAAGAAGCAAGTGGCTCCCGATAACAAGCTCCGTTTCTCAAGTGGACCGGCAAAGACCTCGAAAGAATCTGATCTGGATAAACCCAAAGTCACAGTCTTCGAATATGAGTCGTCTAGAGAAATCCAGCTCCACAACGATAACCGGGCCACGGCCACCCTGGAAACTGAAACCGAGTTCTCTAGAGACGCACGGTCCATCAGAGAGAGAGTCCTTAAGCAAGCTGAGGAGGCCCTCATGGGTAAAAACAAAGCTGACGGGTCAGAAAAGTTATATAAGGGCATGCACGGGTACACCGACTACAAGGCTGGGTTCAGGAGAGAGCATACGGTGGCGAGTGAGAAGGCTGGTGGGGCCCATGGGCCCCTTAGGGCCTCGGCCCACATAAGGGTTTCTGCAAGATTTGACTATCAGCCGGACATTTGCAAAGATTATAAGGAGACAGGTTACTGTGGATATGGGGATTCTTGCAAGTTTATGCATGACAGGGGTGATTATAAGTCGGGCTGGCAACTGGAAAAGGAGTGGGAGGAAAAGGAGAAGGCGCGGATGAGAAAAATGGCTATGGGGATGAAGGATGATGATGATGATGGTGATGAGAAGGTGACTAGTGATGATGATGATGATGAAGCACTCCCGTTTGCCTGTTTTATCTGCCGGGAGCCTTTTGTGGATCCTGTTGTGACTAGGTGCAAGCATTATTTTTGTGAGCATTGTGCGTTGAAGGTAATTCTATTTTTTTCCGGCTTTTTCTGATGTTTGGATATTGTTTACAGAGTAAAATTGGAATTTTGGTTTTTGCTAATGAAAGTTTTGTTTGTTTGTATGTCTGCAGCATCACGCAAGAAATAAGAAGTGCTTTGTATGTGACCAGCCCACGAATGGGATATTCAACACGGCCTTTGAGATACGGAAAAAGATGGCTGCTGAGAAAAAGTAATGAATCAAATGTGAGCATTTAGGGTCAATCTGTTAGAGAACTCCTCGATGAAAGCTCCATTGTTGGTGCACTTATCTTTTCTATAAAAATCCTTTAGTATTTGCCACAAACTTTGCGATCTCTTTTATAGTTCTTCCCATGGTACAAATTAAGGTATTTGAATATCTCAACTGTGTTCTTCTGTTGTGTTCTAGGAAAGATGATTTATGTGATTAGCATATCCATAACGCTAAACAGATTTGAGTTAATTGTTCCCCAGTGTGCAGTATAAGCAAATTGTTCTGCGAAGAATGGATATCACCAACTGAAAATGCTTATAAGGAGTAGGGGAATCTCCTCGAGATGTTGATTAACTAAATCTAAATCTGACACTTCAAAACAACTAAACTGCATGTAATATACCATAAATTTTGGGGCATACGAAACTCAGAGGTTATGTTTTTCATACCTTCAACAGTATTTCGATTAGGATAGAATGGATGGGAAACAGGATATAAACCAGATGAAAAAACAAAAATTTGAAAACCGAAACCGTTTGTAATAAATCTCTCTCTCCTCGAAAAAAACAAAATCCCCAAATCTTGCTCTAGACCTGCGATTGTCCGCCTTCTCCGGCGGGACGCCGGCCGTTTCGACGGTAGCTGACCCATGGCTGCTCGGCTCTCTCTTGGAGGTGTCGTTGTTCATTCGCTCAAGCCGACGGGGTGGGAGACGGTGGAGGTCCAAGAGGTTTCGCCATCTTTCCCGGTCGCCTCTTCGGGCTGGTGGCCAGTCAATCTCCTAGGTGGCGAGAAGGTGGAGGACGCCGGTGCTTCTGACGGGAAGGGTTGTGGCTCCGACAGCCGGATTGTGGGGGTCGGTTGGAGTAGAGGAGATTTGACTATTCCCCTGTTTCCTTTGGCCTTTGGTGTGCGGGTCGAGGCGCGACGAGCCCTGGTCCGTGTGGGCTGAGCTCGGGGTGATGGTGGTGTGATGGGGTTTGGCTCAATTTCCTCCGGCTGAGGGTTGGGTCGGCTCCACGGATGCAGGGGCGAGTTTCTAGGGTCCAACTTCAGTTAGGTGCCTAAGTTTCAGTTTCTGGTGTTGGGGTCTGAGGCGAATTTCGGTCCTTTTGGGTGGTTGGCCTTTAGTATTACTGTCGTGATTGTTTGGCGTGTTCCCGGCCGTGAGAAAAGCTTATCCATTATTTCTTTGTGTTTGTGTTTTGTGGTTGTGTTTTGTGATGTTTTGCATTTTGTGTTTGTGTTAGGTGGTCTGTGTTTTGTTTTCTTCTCCTTTAAAGCAGCGTATTATTCTTCTGTGGGGAGTTTGAGTCATTCTTTTGTAGGAGTTAGCGTCATTCTTTTG